TAACATTTTATATGTTCGTTATTATAAATACCGTAATGGCCCCCCAAACCCTATTCTAATTATCAAGGCCCCTATATTACTGTTTAGGGTTTCGGGTTTTATTCCTATGATGGTTTGACTAGCCAAGAGTCAGAGAAGTATATACTTTTTTCTAGCGGGCTGCTGAACAGCCCACGAAACTCATACACCTTTATCAAGACATGTGCCTTAACGCATAGCGGGCCGGATGCACTGCTTCAAGTCACACTGGATATAATGCTCTCTGGGGATATTTCTAGGATATTCAGCATTTCACGTTCGTGGTTAGTTTTTCGGGTTTAGGGGTAGTCTGAAATGTTCGGGTTGGTAGCTCTGGGTTTAGGTTTTTAAGTTTTTTGGGATTTCGAGTGTTCGTCTTTGGGATTCAGGGTCCAAGTGGGGGGTGAGTTCCGCACACTTCGACTTTGAGGGGGCTTTCCTACCGCAAACTCCTTGTCAGCTAGGAGCCCTCACCTAAAAGCCTTCTCCATGTGAGGGGCCTTTCTTTGGCAAATTGGGGCTTTATGGCCCTGTAGAGCCCAAGCAAAGCAAGCCGAGGTTCCAAACATAGACCCGGAAAAGTCGGATCCTCACGCAAAATTGATGCTGAAAACAGGTCATAGAAACTCCCAAGAGGTGTTGTTCTTGATGATCCGTAGTAGGGTTTTGGGGTGTACGGTTTAGGGCTTTCGCTTATAGGGGGTAGGGTTTGACGTTCGGGGGCTTTGGAGCAGGGGGAAGGGTTCGATTCTGCAGATTGGGGAGGCAGCAAGAGTGAAAGGTTTAGACCTTTGGATTAAGGCGAGCCGCTTTCAGTCGGAACTGAACTTGCTGGAATGACCAACCTGAGTTTTGCCCGCAGGGCGAGACGCTGGTCCAAGTTATGATGGCTTGGATCATGCTCACGCCGCGAGCTCGGCTATCTACTGAACAGGGGCTAACCCAAAGTCCAAGGCTATCCCTTTAACATGGGCTACAGTTCACAACCTTGAACCCTAAGCCCGAATCCCCAACGCCCAAACCCATATCGAACCCCAAAGCCCAAAGCCGAAACCCCAAACCCTAAAACCCCAAAACCCTGAGCCCCCCAAACCCCTTTCATCTGGAAGCCGGAAAGTTCTTCACACTGAAGTCGAAAGCTTCAGATTCATCTTAGAGGTTCAAGACGATTCTATGGTGTGTTCACAACAGCGGCTGATAGATTTCGCTAAGTGCTTTCAGGAGGTTCAACAGATCTGTAGGTTTACCGGTATAGAACCAGCGCCGAAGTTTCATGCTGATATAGCCGATACAGCTTACAGTATGTCTATATCTATATATATATATATATGTATCGGCCTTCAGCGGTGCCTATGTACTGTGGAAGGCCAACATATACATTGCATAGGTTATAGGTATAACCATGCTATGAACCTTACATGGTACAACCTTTGCAGAGCCCGGTAGAGGAGCCCTGTTATCATGGACCGTATGAGCTTGAATCGCCGGATATTGAGTGTTCAAGGTCTCAGGCAGTAGATTCAGAGTTTGTCTTTTCGAGTTTGGGGTGCTGGGATTGTTGGCTTAGGGTTTAGAGTATAGAGTTTTTTAGGGTCTTGATTTAGGGTTAAAGATTTTAGTTGAACTCTCAGGCCGCGTGTGGTGCCGACGATGAAGAGAGCTCGGCTAGTTTGCACTTGCTGTTAGCTTTCGGGCTGAAGATCTCGGGCATTTCCTCTATACGGCGGTCTTGATTCAAAGGGTCCTCCACAAGCACTCAAACCCTAAACCCTAAACCCAAGGGTCATAGCATGAGCTTCGCTACATGCTGAGAGGCCACTGAGGGTTTAGGGTTTAGGGATCGAGGGTTTGCATCCGTGGTTTTACTGGGGAATCGTTCTGGGGTTGGCACAAAGCTGCTGCTGGCCTGCTGAGATACGGGCTTTCAAACCCGGTTTCTAGGGTTTCAAGACATAGCTTGGGGTTTAAGGTTGGGGCGCAGTGCTTTACGAAGTTGCGCGTGTTTGTGCATGCTGGCGGAACTGTATATATTGTTGCAGGATCATCTGATTATCAAGGGCATAGTCCAGGGTAGATGTACGCAGAGTGACAAGCAATAACTGCACGATAATCGTCAATAATGACAGTGACTGTGATCATCTTCGCAATATGCAGAAGCAACCGTATCTCATCGTAACGTTGGAGTAACAGAATGTCAGCTGCTCTGCTAGATCTTGCGCTCTAAACCCCAAACCTAAACCTAAAAGTCCCGAGCCCTAAACTCCAAACCATAAACCCTACTGTAAACCCTAAACCCCTAAACCCTATGTAAACCCCTAAACCCCTAAACCCCTAAAGCCTAAACCTTATGTAAACCCCTAAACCCCTAAACCCCTAAACCCCTAAACCCTAGACCGTATTGAGCCTGAACCCTAAACTCCTAAACCCCTAAACCCCAGACCGCATTGAGCCTGAACCCTGAGACTCTCGCCCAAGCAACTGGGGCGTCATGTGATCCGCAGCCCCGGAGCCGATGTTGCCGGGTTTTTCGGGGTCATCGTCATCCTAGAAGAGGGTAGGTCTCTAAATTAGGGTCCCTTTTTAGGTCCCCGCGCCCTTATAAAAAGGACCCTAAAAGGGACCCTAATTTAGAGAACTACCCAAGAAGATATTTTCGGGGCTTTATAATAGTTTCCTATACTGTTTTGGGGGGTTCCTTCTTACAGTTAGGGCATAATAGCCCCAAAACCCTATTCTAATTATTAAGGCCCATATATTGCCTATAGTCTCCCATCGTAGTTCCTTTTTTGGGTTTTCTTACAGGTTCCTAATCATAAAACTGGCTGAACAAAAACAGGAACTGCAATGGAGACTATCGATAGAAGGTAGCAGGGGACATATTATTGGCGTCTGCATGAAAATCACTCCGCTAGTTTTGGAAGACATGGGTGTCTGAGAGCCTTGAGTCTCATTGCCCTCATGCTCACCATGACCGTCATCATGGTCACCTCCATCAGCAACATCATCAACATCACTGGCATCAGCGAGAGAGCAACAATCACGATCGTGATAGCTAACATGAGAGCTGCCAGAGGTGCGAGGCAAATCTGGTTCAGATTTGAGCGTTATTGCCATGTTCACGTGCCTGCAGCAACATTGGCTTGAACACCTGCGCTGAATCATTCGGTTTCTCTCAGCCGGCGGGAAGTGAGTTGATTATGAGACCGTAAACCACCAGCACCAAACAGCCGCATTCGCAAGCATCAGTGCAAATGACACTCGTTTTAAGTGCTCCCCGCCCCTTTGTCACCGAATTCAGAACGTAGGATTTCAGCATTAGGATTTGGGGAAAAGGGCCAACACTACGATTTGCAGCAAAAACTGAGCCTCCAAAAAAGCAACATGGATGGAAGTTTTCAACGGGCTGTGGAAGTGGATGCGACCCTGTTGACAGCAGCTTGATGGTCTCAATAGCTGTGCCTTTGCCTACATGTGAAGAGCAGGTTTAGTTTCGGAAGTTAGCATTCTCGATGTTCCATCTAAGGAGTTGAGGATTTAACCCAACCCTTAACCCCACACCCTAAACCCTAAACCTGCTTGATTCCCAGAGAGGTTTCGAATGAAACAGGCAAAGACCGAAAGAGCAGGAAGGCCTCCGACCTAGTAATAATATAGGGGCTTAAATAATTATCTATACATATATGGGACCTATAATTTTTTGGGGGGTTCCTTAATATAATTGCAGTATAATATACCCCCCAAAACTATATTCTAATTATTAAGGGCCCCTCCCTATACTAGGCTGTCTTGTGTTCATTGCTTATAGGCTTGGGGTTTAGGGTATGGGGGTTTGGCCCTTGGCGCGCAGTCGGTTTCCGCTCTTCCGAACCATGCTCGGAAACCTGAGACTCTAAATTTAAAGCGGAAGCCACTAAATTATCCATACCCGAGATCCTGAACTAAGGGCTGTCTTGTTTTGAATCGTCTTGGCATGGTGAATTGAAATCTGGGCCGGGTCTTTCAACTTTAAACCAATGCAAGGCGCTTGACAGTGACTCCTCATTCCCCAGACCAGACTGCTGGCTAAGCCCAGGACCCGAAATCCTTATGGTGGGTTCCGAAAATAGGGGACCCTAATATAGTACCCTTGACTGTAGGATCCTTATTGTAAGGGCCCAAAAAAAAGTACCAGTATCTTCGGAAACTCCCTTCTGTCCCTGCCCTGCGCCCTACGTGTGCATGTTAAAGCTCAGGCGTCTGATGGACGAAGATCCACCCTGCAACTCTTACGCCGTGTACTACAAGGGCCTTACCAGCTAGAACAGGATTTTGGGGGCATACTTTGCTTGGAACCCTAAACCCTAAACCCTAAACCCTAAACCCTAAACCCTAAACCCTAAACCCTTAATTAATGGAACAGTGTTGGTCAAGTTTTGGCCGCAGGGCTTGAAGCCCTGAACCCTGGAGCCTCAAGCCCCCGGGCCCTCTCCTTAGGGTTTAGGGTTTAGGGTTTAGGGTTTAGGGTTCAGGGTTCAGGGTTTAGGGTTTAGGGTTTAGGGTTTAGTAAATCAGATACCCTTGGGCCAAAATAAGCGACAACGGCAAAAGTCCAAAAGACCTA